GTGTGTGTGTGTGTGTGTGTGTGTGTGTGTGTGTGTGTGTGTGTGTGTGTGTGTCAGCCCAGCAGACTGCAGTACAAAAGGACAGATGTCCACTCAGCAGTCTGCTGGAGGGGGCATGCTGTTTGGCATGCTTATGTGTGTCTGTGTCCTGCTCTGTGCCAGTAACGACCCCTCCATCAAATATTTGTCATTTACAGACCAGTTTCACACATTCGTGTATTCTGTCCCGTCTCCGTTTATTCTTTTCGCTCATTTTCCTCTGCTTTGATTTCAGGAAACTGTAAAAACCAAATATTTTACATCGGTGATCTTTCGGATTTTAATGCCCTGTTAGTGCAGACTGCTGACATCATGACTGTTGCAATGTTGTTTTGATGAGGAGATCCAAACTCTCCTACACATGTGAGAAAGGCTTCTTCCTACTCTGCCTTTCACAATAAGAGTCTTTGAAGTATACACTGGCTGACATCCAGTCAAAGATGAATGTTTATTTAGGCAGTAAGCAAAGTGGAAAATGTTAAGCTAATCCAGAAACACAGGTGAACACACAGGGTAGCACAGGGAGAAGCATAATGGAAACTGACAAAAGACACTTTATTAGGAATACCTGCTCAATTGTTCACCCAAAAATCTAATCAGCCAATCATATGGCAGCAACTCGGCGTGTTGAGGCATGTAGACATGATTTGGGCAAAAATGGCTTGTTGATGGCAGAGTTGAGAGGAGAGACCAGGCAGCTACTCAAATGATCACTCGTTACAAGCGTGGTATGCAACAGAGCATCTCTGAACACACAACACAAAGAACGTTTGTTTAATCTGTGCCAGTTAAAGAAGTTCTGAAAGCAGAAGAGTGTCCAAGCCAGTATCAGCACGGTCTCCCTAATACAGTGGCTGCTGGATGTACACACGGAGGGTGAGGAAGGAGGTACAGCTGAGTGTAACTGACACAGGTAGAAACAGTTAGGGGTGGGCTGACAGACATGTAGGGGGAAGAAGACAGAAAGTAAACCAACAACCTCGAAATAAAAAACATGACGCTAAACTTCAAAGTAAAACAGAGACAAGACCCACAGACACGACAGCAGAGACAAGCTCAGAGATGAGGCAGAGGGAGGAACAACGTGGAAGCACGGAGGGAACTAAGACTACTACAAACAGAACAAGGACATGAAACCAAACACAGGACGGCAAAAATCAAATTCGGCACTTAAAAAGAACATAAATAAAAACAAAACACTCAGTAATATCACAGGATTAGGAAACTATGATTCAAATAAAAAATGACTTTGTTTCCTAAAGTTATGAAAACGAAAGATTAACTTATTTCTTCTGATTTTAATAATAATAACGACATTTTTAAAAAGTAATTATTATGTCAAAATTATAATAGATGCTGTTTGGGTTCAGTCCAGAGCATGAAGCTGCTGCACAGGAAGTATAGCTCTTCATCCAGGATAACACCACACAGCTGCATGCAGCAGGCAACACTAAAGCTAGAGACAGAGTAGGGCACTTCCTTGTATTTCAAAATAAAGCACATCCTGTGAGCACTTTCCATAAGAATACTAAATTATTATTATTTATCATTATTATTATTTAGGTCTAAACACTTTCACATGAACAGCATGCTGCAGAATATGTGAAACCATCCAAAACCAATCTCTTGGCACTGGTTGGCCTTTTACATACAAAAACATTGTCAATATCATAAAACCACAACGGACCAAAGACATAGATCCACATCGACTGAGGGGAAAATAATGTTTTATTTTGTACAGCTTTACAGACCCACAGGTCTGTGTAGCTGTGCTATAGTCTTCATGGTTTGTACACTGGATTCATATCAGCAGAAATGGGTTAAAGATCCACTAACACATCATACATCTACACAGCAGGCAGGTGTGGAGTGGAACCACTCAAATAAAGAAGGTGCATCCCTAAAGTTTCAACAGTGGTGCGTTTGCATCTTCTCCTCTTTGGGTGTGGAGGTTAGCTGAAATAGAACTGGAATAAACTTAAATCAGCATCAATAAAGATGTAAAATGACTAATGTGTCATTTTTAGCATTGTCTTTGTAAAAGAGGCTTTCTTCCCTTGTGCCGTGCAGAAGGTGGAAACAAACCCTCTTCTTCCTCTTCTTTGGTTACTTCCTGCCCACTCGCCTGCTCTCTCTGTAGGTCATGTTTAAGTCTGTTTATATTGGCTCTGAAGCTCACAGGTTCTCCTTCAGGAAGCTGATTGTAACAGACAGTGACACTGTGTAGCATTAGTGTGCTTACATTACACACACTGGGAAACCCCGCATATGTTCAGCACAGAGGAAAGGATGAGACATGATCGTGTGACCTGGTTATGGTGGCGCAGTCTGTCTCAAGCATGTGGATTACATATAGAGAAGTCACAATATGAAAATCTTCATGGTTTTTTTTCCCTTGAAAATTGCATAAAATCACCAAACAACGAATTTTCATTGCAAACTAAAATCATTCGGTTTTATTTAAAAGTTATTGTGAGATCAAATAAACAGCTCTTATTTTATTTGCTCTGAAACTGCAGTTTTTCATCCTTCAGACCAGCTGATCGTTCATCAAAACCTAAACAGCCTCACAGACCATCTCACACAGTCCTGAATGATCAGCACATTTTAAACACCTCATAGTTTCTTTTTAACCTAATAGAGCACTTTGCTCTCAGACAGGCTGACTTGTAAATGGTTCTTATATAGCATTTTTCTACTCGACCACTCAAAGTGCTTTGTACAACATGCCTCATTCACCCATTGACACAAGCACTTTTGTCTACGTTTTTTCTGTGTAAGTGCTTCCTATCATGAGCTGTTCTGCTTCCAGAGCTGCAGCCACCTCCATGTGGTTCTTAGACTTTCTAAAAGTAGACTGGGATGAGTGGAACCAGCTCCCAGTTTGTGTAGCCTGTGTACTTCAAGGATTAGCCTTAAAACATCCAGTATTGATTAAAGCTTATTTTGAGGGCTGGATCATCCCTTAGTTGTGCTGCTTTGGTTCAGGCTGCTATGGGACAAACCCTGATGCATCTTCACTCCCTGTTTTCAGCTTTGGTCTTCTCTCTGTTGGAGTTTGTTTTGTCCAATTTGTTGTTCGTGGTCTCTCCATGCTCCATTTCTCTCTCGTCTTTCTTTCATCGCCCTGACAGCTGAAGCAGATGACTGCCCCTCCCTGAGCCTGGACTTCTCTTCCTGTTAAAAAAAGTTTTTTTTCCTTCATTTCACTGCCAAGTAGAGGATTGTTCAATCATTGAAGTTCTCCTTATAATAGTTAAGTAATAGTTGAAACCTTGTCCCCTCAAACCGGACTCATACAGGACGCAGAGATCTGTGTTCAACCACGCAACTTCCTGAAACCAGCGAAGCAGATGAAGCAACCACGACCATATAAAACTATAAAACTGTTCCACTCCAGTCTAGGAGGAGGAGGTAATGTTGAAGACTACAAAAAAGAGTCTCCACATACAGCAAAGGACAATCAACAGTGCATGAAGCTGTGCTGCTGTCAGTTGTGATTTAGTGCTTTGCAGATGAGATCACTGAGTCGTATCCACAAACTCTGTAAAAGATTGATGCTTTTCCGCCGTCTCAGTGTTTTCACGTCAGACGTCAGAGCGCAGGTGAGAGACTCACGGAGACTTTTTTATCCAAAGTGAAACCAGCGATCGAGACTGTAAACTCATCAGGAAAGTATTCCGAGTCCACAGATTGATGATGACAACTGATGGTTGTTCTTAGATTTCTATTCAGTCACACTTTGCTTTGAAACCAAACAAATCGTCTTTTGTTCATCGTTAGTTTCACGGTGACTTCAGTGCAGAAGCCACATTAGTTTTATTACATACAGTCTACGGTCATAACTGTGGAGAAGACGTAGGCAGTCTTACCAAATTCATCAACAAATAATTTAAATTAATTGAATGTAAAAAGAAAACGAGCCAATGCACTCAACCAATCAGAAAGGGTCAGCCATGCAAGCCCCACCCCCACAGTCCACTTTTGTCCAGTTTCTCGAGTGTGTGTGAGAGAGAGGGTGTGTGTAGTTTAGCTCATTAGCTTGTCATATTAGCTCTGCAGGGAGCCTCGGACTGATGAATGGGGATTTAATCTGCTTTGTAATGAGAATGGGGGCAATCACTGTGAGAGCAGAATAACAGAACACACAACGCTATGAGTCATACTCCTGCGTTTTATAGCCTTATGCAACGCTGTTCTGAGGGCTAATAGACTGTTACTGATGACTGATAGGCACCAGCAGGATGACATTAGGTCCAAACGAGCTGCAGAGTGTTTCCTCTGAAGGTCGAGCTGAAGTGCGGGCAGGACCGGAGTAAAAATGACCGCATGCTTGTTATCGTTGTTGTCTGTGGGCTCTAAATCATCCACTCGGCCTGCTGCTTGGCAGGGACACAGTACTGGTTTGGCTGACCCTGACTCATTTACAGATCTGTGATCAGTCTGCCCTCATAGAGAAATAGTGTCCTGCAAAGTGAATGTGTTAAACGTGTGGAGAATCCTGAACATGCCCACGACATGATTCAAAACTAAAATGTAAAAGAGTCGTTTAGAGTCTGTATCTAAGGATAAACCAGAAACACCACAAGAAATCGTTCTTTTGAAACATGTCTGCTCATTTAAATGCCAGCAGCGCACTTCAAAAACGCGGAGTTAAGAGCATGTTTACCGCTGAGTTGCATCACCTCTTCTTTTAACAAGACCCTGCAAGTGTTTGCCTTTTAAAACTACAGCATTGGTCTCCCGAGTTCCCAGATTTTTTATTCCCGTTGCTCGATTTCAGCTGCTGGGTGACAGGTCCAGACGACAGGCGGACCAGTTTAACAGCTGTGCTGTTGGAAAATGTGGAATAAGTGTCAGTGTGGAATAAGCAAGTCCTTTCCTGAAAAAGATGTTGTCTGGATGGCAGCACATGTTTCTCCAAACACTCAGCATTAATGAGGCCTCCACAGATGCACAAGCTACCCCTGTGCATGTGTGCCGACGCCCCCTCATTCTGTCATACAGGCTCTGTCCCACCTCTCTTTATTCCACGGCTTGTTGTGATTGGTCAGACTGGAGTCAAAAGGCAACAGTGTTGCTGGATTTGGATCTTTGCATAGTCGAGTTCAAACTTTGTGTAGGTGCAGCGATGAGTTCACTGACAGTGGTTTTTAGGAGTGTTTCTGAGCCCATGCAGTGATTTCCAGCACAGAGTCAGGTGTGTTTGAGTTCTGCCTGAGGGCCTGAACATCACTTCTCTGGATCTTTGATGGTAACAGATGATGGAATCTTACATCAGAAGCTTGATTGTTAAATCGCTGAACGATTTGAACATGCCGTCTGTCACAGAGAGGTGAACTCCTCCCCATCGTCCCTTCTGATAGTCTCAGTCTCTTTTTTGTCATTTTACTAATCAACACCATCAGTGTCGGCACACTTTTTTATTTTTTAGCTCTGCACAACTTTTCCAGTCTCTTGTTGCCTCTTCCCAAAAATCATTGCATTCTGTTTTTATTTACACCTCTCACAGCGTCTCGCTCTCACTTTTTTGCAGACTGGGCTCTATTAGTCTGACTTTCATTCATGAGTTGTTTATCAACCTCTCAGTGGAAGCTGTGGCTTTAGAAGAGATCCATGAAGTGACGAAGTCACTCTGGATAATAATCTTGTCATCTCCACTTGTTTGGAGCCATAATGTCCTAATCTTCACTATTGTGTCATCCGCAGCTTTGTCTCAGCACAAGGCAATTTTAAAAGAAGTTTACTAAGTAGCAGCTCCGCTTTCAGTCAATAAATAACCATCAGTCAGTCACATAAACATTATTATAGGTGTGGGCCTGAAATAACGTTTCCAGATCATTAACCAAACTGCCTCTGTTGGACTCTGTGAGGAGCGAGAACAGTCGAGCAGTGAAAATCAGCTTCTAAAGCCAGAAATAAAAACTTCTTTACTTTTCATATCCTGCAGATCGAGTTCCAAACGTACGCGGGGCAATTACAGCATATTTAAAGTCCTTTTCACACCGTGTGAGGTTGATTGTTGCCGCGGCGTATCTGAGCACTGAGTGGTGTAATTATTTCTTGCTGCTGTGTGGGCTCACTTAAAGGTGAAACCCACCTTCAGATATCATTACACGTCATCACGGTTTTGTTGCTTTCATGAGACCGTAGCTGAATGATGTCGTTAATTAGTTCCTGAGCCACATCGTGATCGCAGCTGTCTGCGGATCCTCATCCGTCTTTTCACCCAGAGGAAACCGACCCACTGCTCTTCTCAAAGCCTTACTGCATAATGTTATACACTGTCTCTGAGTTTGGATACTTCTGTTAGTGCACTTCCACGCAGTGTGCAGGTATTGGAAAGGACTGTTGGAATACGTTCTGAGTTGTGACTCCCTTATGTCAGTTTTCTGAATAGACTTTTGCTTGGATGCGTAAAATAAGGTCTGTTGTTGAAACTTTCTTTCAGGGTGCTGGTAAAGCTCATGAGGCTCAGCAGGTGAGTCTCACGCTGTACGGCTGCAGAGGCCTGAGCTTGAATCTGCCCCGAGGCGCTTTACTGCCAGTCTTTCTCCCACCTCTCCTGTCTTGTCTAACTAAATAAAGCCTTAAAGCACAAACTTAAGATATTTTTCATGTTTTGTTCTTTGCAATGTGAAACACAGAAGTTACATTTTAAAGCTAAGTGGGGATAACTTGTCCCACAGAATAAAATAAGTTAAAAACAGAGTGTTGCACCTTTTAACTGTTTAATTGTTGAGTCAGCTGCTGCTTTTTGCAGACATTTGCTACCTGTCGGGTGTCTGACCACATAAAACTGAAGTCGAAACTAATGTAATCCTCCTGCTGGCTGAAAATAGTTGAGTGGTTTCCACGATTCTTCGGTGTATCAGCGATTGAGGCTGAGAAGTGTAGCTCCAGCGTTTCATGTTCATCCTTGCTGTGCTCGTCATGTAGCCGCACTTGTCAGTGTGAACACGCTTGTGCACTGAAAATAGCAAGTGTAAGCGTGGAAGTACTCGACTGGAGACGCCGAGCTGGTGTTTGTCTTTGTGCAACAGTGTGACAGACGTGGACGAGCTAAATATTGCAGCACATCAAATATAGATCGAGTTGTGTCCCTCACACTGCCACAGAGACGCTTTCATAGTGTGACTGTCCCTTTGACATGAAGTGTTTCGTTCCCTCTGCTTCTCCTGCAGGTGAAGTATAAGAAGGACTTTGAGGAGAGCAAAGGTCGAGGGTTCAGCATCGTGTCCGACACTCCGGAGATGCAAAGACTCAGAAGGACTCAGGAGCAGATCAGCAACGTATGAACACACACACGATACACACCAAGCTACTGTTTGTCGCTCTGTATATGAGAGTGTGTGTGTGTATGTGTGAGGATGCACTCTGGTCGGTGAGCACAGTCTCTTACACGCACACACACAAACACAAAATGCCTACATCATCAAGCCCTGCAGCGTTTTGACGTCAGCTGTTTGAAGAGGAGCATCTTCTACAACCATTAGTGTAAGTGATCACGACTTCTATTTACTGAATGTAGGCAAAGTAGGTTACATTATGAATGTTTCTGAAAGGCAACAGAAGAAGAAGAAGAAAGGTTTCTGGGAGAGAACAGACGCAAAGGGGAGCGTGAAGGGCCAGAGGAGGAGAACGATAATACACGAGTAACAAGACAAGCTAGTAAACAGGGAGGACGGAGTTACTGCTAGAAGTTTGTGGATGTTTGAATGTTGTAGAATCAACTGAATGAAGTTTGAATTTATTACCAGTAAAGATTAAAAACTATTGAGTGTTTTTACACTAAACGAATGATTTCAGTCCAGAAAGTAGTTTGTCAGAAATGCAGAAGTTACAACTGTTGTGATGTTGAATCATTTAAAATCAACATTTAATGAACTTTATTTTTTGTGATTGTTTTCTTTTTGTGGTGTGTGAGAGAGTGTGTGTGTGTTTGTGCGCACAGATGTTCTACAGATGTGTCCTGAGGACCAGACGACGCTCAGTGGATGATGCTGAGGTCTGTTTGTTTCCTTCCTGTAGTCGTTTTCTGTCTCTTGTTTTTACATCAGTCTGATTGTTCTACGTTTGTATTCCTGCTTTTATAAAACATGTAAAACCAGCAGTCTTGGAGAAATTTTAGAAATTGGTCATGAAGTTAGGATCATGCACTTCTGCCCCTAAAAAGCAAAGATCATCGTGCACTGCTGCATCTACAGTTTATCACGCTGCATCTCCTCCACCGATTCAAAATATTCAAAACCATTCAAACCATTCAAATATGAGCTTAAACAGTACATGTTTTATACTCTGACTTGACATCTCTCTTTATCTCAAATATATGTTAGCATATAAATTATATATAGTCTTTGAAGACTGGTGGACTCTTTGCCTTTATGTTGTTCTAGACATTTTCTTGAGTTTTGTCGTTAGTGGGGTAGTGAAGTGCACTTGTTGTGCTTTTGTGGATCACTGGGAAAAGTCAGTGTGGAGTTTGTTTGGTTTCATGTAAGTGGAGCAAACTAGGAATTGGGAAAGTGTGGAAAAGGGATTCCTCTCTACTTTCTATTTGCAGAGCTGACCTTTGTGATTTTGGTTTATATATTATTAGATCTTGGATGGTTTGTATGGTCGATTTATTGGAACTCCATTGTATTTATTCCATGTTTTATCCTGGAAATCGGGGGTTGTGGGATTACCGAATTACTGAATCTGTGGAGTCTGAGTCTTTTGGGTCCATCGTTTTGTGCAGATTTGCTCAGTTTGAAACACGTGAATGCAAAAACTCTCACTAAAAACCCAAAACAATCATTTGAAATGTAACATATAGAAACATTTGTATGTAGCTCATGGCTAAAACAAAACCTAACTTTACTCTTTGCAGGCTGCCAGTGAGCTGCTAGGTGTTGAGAGGTTAAACAGCATTCAGTAAAAACTGACATGTGTGCAAAAACTTATCAGATTGATTTATATTCAGTGTCATTTTCTGACCTGTTTCCAACTGTCTGACTGACAGTAGATGGTTGAGACGTGTCGTCTGTTGGGAAACCTGCTCACTGTGCAGAGGAAAACCCCGCAGATTCCCTGATGTAGAATCTGCCCGGGCTCAGGCCAGTTTAACCATGTATGAATCCTGGCATGTAGTTTAGGTCCAACACTGGTTATAAACAATTTGACTTCAATAGAAAAGAAAAACACAATTAATTTGTTTGTGTGTTGGAAGTGTAAAGGTGAGGTATGCCCGCCCTCGGCCCATCACAGGACTAACACACGTGTGAGCAGCGTGACCCTCACGTTATCCTGCACACGTGAGAAACTTGGGAAACAGTTCAGTCGTATAAAAATGAGATTGAACAATGTTGGACTGAGTTAATCGTACGCTGACATATTTAGCCGTTTCTTTTCCCTCGTCTCTTCTGGGTTCTTCATTTCCAGCCTGTCGATCTTGGGCTCCGCCTCTGTTTACCTGACCGAGTGATCGCGTTATTCCGCTCCGTTAGCACAAACTCTCCCTCCTCTCTCGCTCTGCTTTAATTAGGACGCACACATTGGCTCTCTCGCTCAATTGCTGTGACCTTTAACAGCCCACACTTTTTATTTTATTACTCAGCTCTTTTCGAGGTTGACTTGGCGAAAGAAAGATGAGGGGGATAAGTGTGAGGAAGAGGAGGTGGACGAAGACGGAGAGAAGCAGTTTGAGTTGAATATGATCAGCAGCTCGTGTTTTATTAGGAAAAATGTTTCATGCTAACCGCTCGGACACGCTGACGGGTGTCGTAGTTCGTCGTCTGTCCTTGAGTCTCATTGCTATGCTGTGGGAATCCAGATGATGTTAACGATGTAGCTGCGGTGATCAAAATGAGAACTTGTTATGTTCCTCACGTCAGGCTTCAATCTGCTCTTAGAAGTGTGTCTGTCGTATGGCTGAGGTTTGAAATTCTTCCTCAGCTTCCCTCAGTTTTTATTACCCGCTCTGATGCTGCTGTCACCTAACGAAGAGTAATTGTCATCGAAGGCGGCGCGAGCGTCTGCTTTGAAATTCATTCATTCCCTGATGGAGATCCTGTCACTCCTGGAGTTCTGACGAGCTGAAACTTTATGACCCTGCCTTCGGTCCACCCTATAGATTAAATACAGCTCCCCCCTGTGGGATCGGGCACCAGCGCGTTAGCAGGAAATCATCACATCTAAAAGTGGTGAGTTGGACCTGCTGCGTATCACCTGCTTCATCACACCCCTCCAGCACCCTGCCACCAGCTGACAGCCTCTAATCACCACCCGGCCATTTTTAGAGAAGCTCCATAAGTTTGTCACACAGGTCGTCACACCTCCCACATCCAGCATGTTCCACTCAGGGTTCACGTCTCAGCCCCGACTGCCACCACTCGGCTTCAGGTTTCACCTCATATTCAGTCTGAGACCTGTGTTAAATTAATAAGTGACTTTAACATATAAGAAACCATCAGCTTTGACTTGATGACTTGCTTTCCTAACCCTTTCCCTAAAGATAGAGGCTTGGATGGAGCGCTGAGAGAGGCGGAGACGGGGAGGAGGGGGGGTCGCATTTCATCTGAAATGAAGGAAGTGAGATTTAGTGCAGAGTGGAGGCTGACTGGGTAAAAGAAGATGATTAGACTAAAGTAGTGAGACAGCACTGACATACGTGGGAGAGTGGAAGTGATGTAACGAACAGAGATTAACCTCGACCCTGCTGTCCTCCGTGCCGTTATTATGTTCAACATAACAGGTGATATTAATACAGAAGGATAGAAAAAGCCTGATTATTGCTCAGTTTAATCTTCAACATCGTGCTGTAAAGCAAGTCCAGTAGTGTTAAGATGAGTCCGTTTATTTTACAAGTGTGTTAAAAACTCTAAATGTTAAAATCAGAACTCAGTTTGGTTTAAAAGCCAAAGAATGAAAATAGTTTTTTAAAGGATTTAAAAATGTTCATAAAGGGGACGTCCGTCCCAACATTTAGGAGAAACTGCTGTGCAGTTTCACCTCTGTGGTGCATCAGCTCAGCTCTGTAGTGTAGAGGGAACAAAAGAAACACCTATAAAGTCTGAAATCATTGGAAACTGTCAGACGCCACCACGGTGACATCTGGCCTTGCTTGTGTGTCCCAGCAGAGTTCGGTGCAGCTTCAAAAAACTGAGCGACAGCAGACTGGCACTTGAATGAAGACCATTACAATAGTACTGGGAGAGCTGGGATGAATTCAAGGCATGCTGAATGAGAGCTTCCCCTCCATCAGTGCTTTAACGTGCACGAAAGTCATTTTGTGTTGTCAGCGATCACTCGCAGGTTCTTTACAAGCAACAGATCCTTAAAGAGTCGAGGTCAGAGCATCCGGAAATAACACAGCTGGTTTTCTGTTTGCTTAATTGAGAAAGAGCGATGTCATCCACACATCACAGTGCAGGCTCATTAGAAGGAAAAACATCATCTGCAAAAAGATGAGACGCGCTTCAGCTTCAAAGCGCTGGTATGGCATAGTTTCCACTGTCAGTAACAGCAGCAGGATCTGAGTTTATCTGTAGTGCAGTACAGTATTACATTAAAAAATAAACTGTTGAAAACCTGAAGAGAAATGTGTTGTTTCTGCTGAGCTGTGGCTGGCAGCAGCACTGGTTCACATCAGGACGAGATCACAGGGCCTCTCCCAGGAAAAGCTTTGTGTTTCAGAATTCATTAACAAGATCTGAGGAAAGACACAAAGAGAGAGAGCTCCTGGTCAGTGAGGAGGCTTTCTTTTCTTTCTTTTTTTACCACCTATAAAAACTCCAAATTCAGCTTCAAGGAGAGACCAAAGCAGCTCGTTCCCAGAGAGTCGTGTTTGCTGTGATTCTGGGTGAGGCTGTGATGGCTGCAGGCCCAAAGTCAGCCAGGACTCAGCTGTTTCTCAGGCCACTGAACCACTGATTTAATGTTTGACCCCTGATGGGTTTGGATCTCTGTGAGTGCTGGTGAGCACAGGAATATCAAGTAGAAGGAAAAATATTATGAGCATTAATGAGAAAGTGCCCCAAGACGATGGTATCACCAGTTATGAAAGCATGCTGGTCTGTAACAGAAGTCAGCAGTGCATCTTCTTGCCAACATTATTCAGTTGTCATGGTAACTGATGTATTTATATATATTTCTTTTTTTTTTACATTTACAATTAACTGTGGGAGGAAAATGCTGTTCTTGGAACAAATCCGTCCGTGGAACTGATCCTGATTTCTAACACAATCCGATAGTAAAGTTTTGCAGTTGTATTTTCTTCACAGTGATCACAATAAAAACTTAAAATCTAAGT